GCTCGCTCTCTCTCTCTCTCTCTCTCTCTCTCTCTCTCTCTCTCTCTCTCTCTGTGTGTGTGTGTGTGTGTGTGTGTGTGTGTATAGGTATGTATGTACACATGTTAGGGATGTTGCCCAGTCATAAAGCACTTGCTTAGCACAGCATATATAAGGCTTTAGGTTTAATAACAAAGAATAACACCACCAACAAAAAAAAAAACAATAAAAACATTAAACAACCCCCACAAACAAACAAACAAACAAAACCCTTCAAATTTCAGTTATAGATCATTTGCTAAATGGAAACTGAAGGATTTCTATGACTTCTCATTTCTCATACTTTAACATTATTTTTAAAATTATATTAAACTGCAAAGCTTTGGTAGTTTCTGAATGAGGCCATGACAAGTCTTATTGTATCACTAAAGCAAGAAAATGGTTCTTAATACAGAGCTATGGAGAGATGATCAAGGAGCCGACGAGGGACCTAAAGTTAGGAAGGAACACCAGTGTGTTCCCTTCTCATCTTTTCATCACTATGGTCAGATGCTATCAAACTTGTGACATAGGAATAGAACCAAAAATACACAGAGGTTGAAGAAGGAAAGAAATTATCTACAGGGCTACAGATGGGAGATCATGGGGACAAGCATCGGTCAATAAATACCTGTTAGATATCTACTACATGCCAAGCACTAGGAATGCAGCTGTGAGTAAACACAGAAACACTTCATGCTTCATGGATATGATACCCACTATGGAGATCACACAGACACCAGCAAAACCGCTGTGTATGCACACAAAGACATACCTACCAACCCATACACACAGACACACAAAGATAGATAGGCAGACAGACAGACAGACAGACAGACACACACACACACACACACACACACACACACACACACACACACACACACAATACAACAGAAAGTGGACCTCATTAGCCATAAGGATTAGAAAAAAATTCTTGAAGAAAAATTAACTACAGAAGGCAGGGGAAGCAAAAATTTCCCCCATTTTCTGTGAGGCTTGCTCTATTTTGTGCCTTCAAAATTCTTTTCACTGTGGCAAAAGATGTATCACATGCTCATAAAACTAAATCTCTTTAATTCAAAAGAAGTCTTTCCCCCTTAGAATTGTTACTCTCTTGCTGAGTTATTTAAAAAACCCCACATATGTATATCAAAACCGTACCACAGCACAAGCTACTCCAAAGAAATAAATGTCTACTGAAGGCCAGAGTGGGAGCCACAGACACAAATGCCCCCTGCAAGGAACTGACCTCCAGGAGGTGTCTGCTCTTCACCTTGGAGGGTACAAAGTTTCCAGGATCAGTCAAGTAATTCAATATGAATCAACAGGAAAAACTCCGATCCCTTACTCATGCAAATAATGTAATATACCTAGAGTAGGGGTTCTCAACCTTGACTGCACTTCAGAGTCTCCCAGGGAGCTTTTAGAAAACACTTATGCCCAGGTCCTGTCCCAGAACAATTAGATGGGAATTTGTAGGGGGTGGGCTTTCTCAAGAGCTGGAGTTTTAACAACTCCCCAGGTGGCTCTAATGGGCAATGGGGGTTGAGAATCATTGATGGAGATCATACGCAGAGAGATTCCAAACACAGCAGACTGAAAAATGTATTGTTGCATCTGACTAGTAATTAATTGCTCTCCTGGAACCTACCTTGGATGCTAAAAAGAACATTCTGTGTTCCATGCCTGTGACACACACCCTGTTGTCTAGCACCCTTTAGCTTGTAGTATCCCCTTGCCCACCAGTCTTCCAGATCTGGGATGAACTTGGAGTTGAAGGGGTTATGATTGCCTGCTTGTCTCTTGTTACTTCACTACTTTTGAGGACTGACTGCTAAAATTATCTTGGTGAAAAGAACATCTCAGTACTAAATTAAAAGGCATGCCAAAACTTCAGGATCTGTACCTGATGGTAACAACCCAGATGATAACCCTTTGTGACTTAATGTATGGCTGCAGCTGTACCCCACAGCTGTACTGCATGCACTTGCTGCACTGTTTATTAGCAGAAGGAAAAAAAAAAAACAGATTCACTTAGAAGATTTTATAACTCAAATTGATATTCCGCATGCACTGCATTAATTGCTGGATGGATGGGCTGTACCCAGGTTTCTCAGTCTTGGTGGAGACAGTTGTAGTGGGCTGTCTCTACTACCACCCCTTCCTTGTTGTGACAACCAAATTCTGTCTTCAGCCAATGTCAAACCTCTGTGGTGGGGACAGTAAAACTTCAAGAACCACTGTTTTCTATTTGGCAACCCATGCCCTAGGCCACTAAGAACAGCAAGCAAGAAAACTGGATACTAAAACATAAAATGCCCCTCTAAAGATACTCCGTAAGCCCAAATAAAGTAGAGATTCTAGCCAATTAGTGGGTTTTGTTTTGTTTTTGTTTTTTATAGCAGAACTGAGATGTGGCCTTTGGCAAAACAACCTTTGTAGGTAGACAGGTGGTAGAAAGGTAAGGCTCAGACTTTCCCAGCTCAGATGGGCATAACTGGGTGAGAATGATCTGTGAACAGGGCTGGCAAAAACCAAAACCAGGACCTTTCTCCCCAACATACAACATCAATTTGGAACTTCTGTTTCAAGTGTGATACAAAAAAAAAAAAAAAAAGGAAGGAAGGAAGGAATAAAGGAAGGAAGGAAGGAAGGAAGGAAGCATCTTGTTTTCTGGGAACATTCACCTTCACCCCTCAGTTCTTGGTCCTAAATGATAATACACTGTCAACTTCCATGGTCCTTGATCTAAAATGACAATATACTGTCAACCTCCATAACCCTTATCTAAAATGATAATATACTGCCAAACAAAAGCAAGGAATTGCTGATGGAGCACCTCAACCCCACTCCTGGTGAAATCAAAGGCAAGTGGCTGCTGACAGGTGGCACAGAGAGAAAAGAGCAGGATGGCAGGATGCCTGATGCAGATAGGACACAAAAGGAAACTTGAGAGGAAGAAAAGTAGATGCTCCCCAAAGAAAGTGTCTTTTTGACATTCATAAACATTGGTTCTTTTTCCTGGGCTAGAATCCTTGTTTAAAAACAGGAACATGGAAATGCTATTAAAGAGACATTACTTTTTGTGTGTGTGTGTGCACAAAATTTACCATGTTTTATGTGCCTTGTCTCTAAAAAAGATGATTTTGGACCAGAATCTGAACTATAAAATTACCCCCTTATTGTCTTTCCCAGAAATGGCAGACATTGCTAGTTAGTCAGGGCCTACATGAGAGCCTAGACTTTCAGCACCAATGAAGTCCAGGCCACTACCCCCAAAACAGTGTAATGCTAAAAGAGGTGAAATCAATTTGATACCCTATATACAATGTTAAAAGGAAAGACAGAGGAAGAGTTATATATTAAAAAATAAACTAGGGGAAAGAAAATGTATTGATGGCAGGCATTACTAGTTGGTTATTAACTATTCCATATCTGTAGCTAAATCTCCAGGTACAACTATTCTCTGCCAGGGACAGATAAAAACAAGTGTTGTATGGAACTTCCATGGAGACATAAAGTAGCTCAGTCAATGGCCATGAACCTTTGTCCTTGCAATTCCATAGAGAACAGACATAAAGGCTACAGTGTCTGCAGTCCTATTGTACTTTTGAGGTGTCCTTGTGGTTCATCATCAAGTACCACATGGTAAAAACACAAGAGTCTGTAGCTCTGTGCACATAATTTAGCCACAAACCAACTTAGAATTTTCTGTGTCTAGATCATTGGAAAATTACATTTCCATCAGGTCTAGGCTGCTATTATCCATTTCATTAAACGCTGACAAATCTAATGACCAGATTTAGCACATATGATATCAATTGTTTTTGCCATGTTGCCTCTCCACCGAAGATGAACTACAGATGAAAAAGAATGAAACCTGCCTGCACGCTTAGGTGTTCTTCAAATATGTTCCTAGGAAGGGCAATCGTATCAAGATGAAAGAAGTATTTTGTCACTTAGTACACAAGGAAGCAAAAGGAGATTAGGTACTAATCCTGTGGGTGCTGAGTTGATAGAGGTTGGACACAGAGTTGTTTGGCACTACAATCCAAGGTGTGTTCCTAATACAAAATGACCTCAGACTCCCTGACCTGGTGCTTCTTAAGGAGACACTGTGATAGATTACAATGCACATAGGCCAGAGAAGAGAAAGCAGGGTAGCCTTAGGATTTAACATGGAGAGGATTTTAAATGAGAAAACATAGCCCCGGTAGGTAAAATTAACAGTAAAGATGTGGCACTAGAAGATTTGACTGATTTTAGAAGGTAAGAAGACATGACCAACAAACAAAGTACACAGATTATATTTGCTTTATGAGTAGTGAGTTAACCTGGGGCATTTTCATTGTGTGTTTTTCAGCATCTCTTTCTCCGTCCAATCACCTTCCCAAACCTTTCAAAGAAAAAGTCTCAGGTAGCCTAGGTTGGCCTTAACTCCTTGTAGCTACCTATAATCTTGACCTTTTGATCCTTCTGCCTCCAAGTCATGTGACATCATACCAACTTATGGCATGCTGGGCATAGAACCCAGAGATGATGTACACATTAAGCAAGTACTCTGCTGGGTTACATCCCTTGCACCCCTCTAGCCACCTTTGTTTCCTTAAGATATGCCAGATATTCTGTTTAAGTGAATATGTAAGAAAGGCCCACAGTATGCAAAACTGAATGCCCAAGGCTCAGTGTATGGTAAAGGAACCCTCTGAGAAAAGCAGAAAGCATTCAATCCACAGCATGAAATAGATACACTGAAAAGAAGGGTGATCAAGGATGAAAGTGAAGGCATTGTTATTAAGACTGATTCCTTGGCTGGAGAGATGGCTCAGAGGTTAAGAGCAGTGGCTGCTCTTCCAGAGGTCCTGAGTTCAATTCCCAGCAACCACATGGTGGCTCACAACCATCTGTTATGAGATCTGGTGCCCTCTTCTGGTGTGCAGATGTACATGGAAGCAGAATGTTATATACATAATAAATAAAATCTTTAGAAAAAAAAAACCTGCTTTAAAACAAAAAAAGACTGAATCCTCATGGGTCACATGTCCCAACATATATCTGATGGATTTTCCCTACAGTTTTTCATATATGCATGTAACATGTATAATCATCAATTAAGAATTACCCATTACTGCCAAGTGGTAGTGGTGCATGCCTTTAATCCCAGCACTCGGGAGGCAGAGGCAGGTAGATCTCTGTGAGTTCAAGACCAGCCTGGTCTACAAGAGCTAGTTCTAGGACACCTCTAAACCACATAGAAACCCTGTCTTCAAAAACAAAAACAAAAACAAAAACAAAACAAAAGGTACCTTAGATGGAAAGTTACATCAAAAGCAGCAAAACTTTTAAAATCAAGTCCCCTATTTTTAGAGTGCCTTCCTTTTAGGAACATAGCATGGTACAGTCATCATGAGGCATAAGGCAACATCCTTTGACAATCCTTCCTAACCTAGGCCTTTTCTTCTAGTTTGGGGTTGAAGAAAGCTTGCTTACTATCAAGAAATTCCACACAGGCATTTAGAAGAACAGGTGAAATTCAGGGACAGAATTCAGTGGAAGGAACTAAGACAAAAGGTAGATTACCAGGCAACTAGGGGAAAAAATGGTGTCATAGGTGTTCCTGTGGTGGGTAATGTGTTTAAAATATTTTAGGATTATCAGTGGTCTCCACCACTTAGAAATGGTTGGGGGTCCAGATGAATGTGAAAACAGCACTTGAAGGCCACTTTTAGAGACCCCTTTTTGAAGAGCATATACAGGATGGTAATGTGGAGAGAGGGGAGAGAATAGCACCTTGGTGAACATTTTATTATCCAGAAACATGGCAGGTGAAGAAGTGTGACTTGTAAGCCTGTCCATTGGGCAAAGCCAAAAGAAAAAAAGGACTCATGAAAGAACTTTAAAGTCTGGGCTTACTTCCTAAAACTTTACTTCCTGCCAAGGGTTATATGGAGAACTTCACAGTGTTCTGAGCAAGAGAAAGAACCTTGGTACTGTTGGGGCATGGTCACCTCAGCTTGCAAGTCTTTATTCTCTTCAAATTAAACCTGGAACACCCAGTTCTTAAAACATGAAGAATGCCATGGAAACCACAAAATTAGCAGTGAGGTGGCGAGCAAATGTCTGTGCACCTACCAGTCGGTACAGCTCAGTGATGCTGATGTCCTCGGGGTCTACCATGGCGTACTCCTTCCTAGGCACCAGGTCTAGTCCCAGTTGTCTAGAAAACAAATTTCAAACATTTGCGAGACAAGTTACCTTTATGGAATGTACTAGGCATGTTTTCACTACAGTGTCTGGAAATGTAATCAAACCTGATCAGCCACACTTTTCCCCCATTTGTGTCTAGCATGACTTGTATCTGCAATTGCAATGGACACAGCACAAGGTTGGGCAAAACTGGGAAACAGAATATGTCAGAGGCAAATTATGGTGGGATAGTTTGTGCTCTCAATGAAACAATCCTGCCATTTGATAGCGTGGTGTGAGGACTTTTCAACAGCCCACAAACCAGCAGCAGAGAAGCCTTCTAATCTGGAGTACACTAGAAACTAGAGTTTGCCTTAGAAAAAGGAAGCGGTGAGACAGAAGTCTAGACTTTAGGGTTCAATCTAGGATACCCAAAGTTAATATGCCCCATGTAAAGCCCCAGGAACTTGCACATGTTTTTCATTCATGGCAAGTTTTGGGGTAAGACTACAAAGGCATGAGACAGCACAGCTTAGGCTTGGGCTGTTGATGGTGAAATGGTTTTGTGTCAGGTGTCACTGTAGCCAGTATGTGGTTATAGTTTAGGTTCTAGCAACTACACAGGTTATTGATATGGCTTTCATTTTAGGAGTCTTACCATGGACAGCAGAACATGAGTGTAACCCTGTTTGCAGCCTGACAGTCCCGCCCCCCCCCCCACACACACACACAGTGATATTATTAGCATGCTCCTCTCTAGGTCAACCACTGTGCACCACTGATACCTGTGCCACAAAAGTCCATTACCTCCTTATGCATCTGTAATCTCTCAAAAGGCTCCCCACTGCCTTCGTAATGCTCCCTGTCAGCCACACTCCCCTCTTTTTCACACTCCTGTTTTCATGCTTAGTTTGTTGAGGATAATTTACTCTGCAGCCTTCTCATAGCATCACTCTCCAAGATAGAAACCTTCTGGCATTGCACTTCTAATTACAGAACTACAGCTTTCTTAACTTTTGTATTAAAAATAACAGAGAGTCCTGAAATTCTATGCTTCAAAATCTCATTAAAGTTGCATCACTAAAATGATTAATTCAGCATCTACTTCAAGCCAAGCACTGCCTGGCCACCCTGAAAAAATGCTAGCTGTTAAAATGGGAAGACTGTCAGTTGACACTAAAATCCTTCTCATGTTCTTAAATGATGTTCAAATACTGAAAGAAACTGCACATCTATTCTTTCAGCCCAATTTTCAGATCACAATAAGTACAGCTGTTTATTCTCAAACTAGTCACATCTTCCCATGCTATTCTACTCCAGGGACTCTAACAGGGTCAGTTCCCATTCTCTGTCCCTTCCCAGGAGTCACTGAACCAGGTCATGAGGTATCATTTGACATCAGGGTACCTTGCTGATGAAAGACCTGTATTACAGGATACAAAACATACAATCACATAAGAGTCTTAGCACCTGCCTTAGTCAAAGTTCCTTCTAAGAGGGGTTGCCTAAGCTCCATTCTCTCCTGGGAGAGGTAAGAGTAGAGGGCATGTGTATGACTGTCTCCTCTTGATGATATATATCAGGCTGTCCCTCATGTGGGCACCTGACATCTGTGGAAACGATCTGAAGCTGGCCAGCAGTCAGAGGGGTTGGCATAGCATGCTCAATGCAAGGAGGCCCAATAGCTTATCTCCTGGTTGTCAAAGATATTCCTTCTTTGTGACTCTGAACCTGAGAATTCAGACCCATCCATATAACATTAGAAAGAAAAGCTCTGTGAAGGGCCACACATGTTTAGCACTACCAAAATGAGTAAGATCAGAGTCAGTTGTGAGCTTGTGCCTGGCCCTTCCTGAACTTCTACTGACAGAAGTAGTATTCAGAGTTTCTATGTTCTGAGCAGCCCAAGTTGTCAGTTGCTGCTGGCTTCTTGAAGTCATAATTGTGAGAAAAACATCCTACGTGTTGCTATTCATTTTTTGTCAGTTAACAGGTACTGTCTGAGGTTGAACAAGCCACTGTTTGAGGTTTCTTAGCTCACAGAATAGAATCAGCAATGCCTTACAAAGAAAATGGAAAAACCAGGCAAGGCCTAGAGAAAACAGATAGAGCAAGGCCATACAGGATACAGAAAGCCAGGGCTGGGAAGGAAGAGACAAACTTTATATCATCGCAGCCACCAAAACACTCTGTGACATCGGGAAGAAGGATGAAGGTCTTCATCCTTCCATGTACTCTCAACAGGACTTTAGAGGCTGTCATGGACTCTATGGGTGACAGAAATCTATATCCCCTCTTTAATTCTGCCTGGGGATTTCAGGAGAGAACTACTTTTACTGATTCTGTTAGGGAACAAGATGGGTCATCTCCTAATTCATCTAAGCTCCCTAAATGGACAGGCCTCCTCTTCACTGCTCTTCAGCAGTGTGATATGCAACGTGACACTGAACACATTCTTAATTATGTTTGGTAAGAGATTTATGTGCTGACAGATCATTTTTCAGGACAATATGACCTAATTTAATAGGCAAAGAAATTATCTTAATTCTCTTTGCACTTAGCACTCTTTAATAAGGGAACGAATTTATCTTTAAAGGAATATGGCAAATGTATAACCCATATGTTGGTTATTCTTAAATAAATTTTCAATAAAATTTAAAGAAAATAGATTAAGAGCATGAGAAAATTCATGAGTTTAAGAATGATTTAAATCATACTGTTCATTTTCATGCATTATTTTTTTATTAATTTACTATAAATTAGCCATAGAACTGCCCCCCCAAAAACAAGCTAGAACTCATGTAAGCCAAAAATTTAGCCTCAATACAGTCCAAATATAAAAATTTTCTGTTTCTCCATTCTTCTGTTTCTCTTCATCAAACTGAAAAAAGACTGGCTTGTTTGCTTGCTTGCCTGTTCCACATTTTGTTGTGGTTTTTTGATAATCTAACTCTATCCAACATCCTTATTAACCAACTAGTCCTCATTTAAATGAGGACTGGCGTAGTGACCAATAACCAACTCTAAGTAAAAAGTCAAGGGATTTTAAAAATAAGAATAAGGAAAAAGTTTACAAAAGTGAAAAAAAATAAGAATAAGGACCAAGTGAACTGGGCAATGTGGCACCTACCTTTAATCCCAGCGCTTGGGAGGCAGGGGGATAAGGATCTCTGTTTGAGGCCAGCCTGGTTTATAGAGTGAGTTCCAGAACAATGAGGGTTGCATAAAGAAACCTCATGGAGAAACAAAAGAAAGAGGAGGAGGAGGACAATGAGGGGGATGAGGAGAAGGAGGAGGAGGAGGAGAAGGAGAAGAAGAAGAAGATCAACCAGACAAACAAATATACAAAAAGACCATGTGAGGCCAGTCACAAAGGAGAAAGTCAACACCAAGGCTGCAAATCCAACCCAGCAGGAGGCACAGCATGTTTTCTGTCCAATCATGAAGCTGAAAGGGCTTTTGTAATTCCATCTCAGTTCTTTCATATGACAAAGAAGGTTTCAGAAATTTGCTTACAGTCTTTAAAAATAATCTGGGCAGGTATGATGGCCCATGGAGTAAAAGCACTTGCCATCAATCCTGAGGCCTTGAGTTTAATCTCTAGGACCTACATGGTGGAAGAAGAGAACCAGTTCCTACAAGCTGTCCTCTAACCACCATGTACACACACACATACACACAAATAGACAAAAAAACAAATGCAGGGAAGAAAAAGACAAAACAAAAAGAAAATATTACAAAGGTGTCCCTAATTCAATGTTCTTCCTGCCATCACACACCCGTCTTCTTGCTTTTATTTCTCATAGAAATGAATCACGTAGTCATATTCCAATTGAATATTTTATTGTCTGTAAACAGCTGAGTGGCATATCATATTCAATAAGATATGACAAGTACTATGGTGAGATGGAGGGTTAAAATATGGTAGTGTTCTGTACATTCCCTTAACATTTTGAAATAAGCCTAGGTGGCTTCTGAGAAAGCCACTTCTTATATCTAGGGGAAGCAACTTTTTCTTTCCAGATGGGTTTTTCCAGATTCAGAAAGTGGTGCATTACCTACCGATGGCTTCCTTCCTGGTGTTTTTTCTTTCTGTGTACCATGCTGACTCTCACTCTCCATACCCTCCCAACATTCTGTGCTAAGATCCACTGAAGGTCAAGTAGCAAATAGGTTCTTGATAATATTAAAGAAGGTAAGGGTGTGGCCTTGCAGGATATTAAGAAATTACACCATTGCCTTAGTCTTTGTGCAAACTAGGAGCATAGACAAAGTTGGCTTATCTATTTTGTCACTCCTTTATTAATATTCAAACTGAGTAGGGTATCAGCTTTGTCAGAGTTTCTAGTAATTAGATTTACTACTTAAGTGCTCAGCTGTTATTTTAAGTAAGTCCCCCACATTTTTACTTAACACTAAATCTCAGTCCATGACAGCCTTTACCTGAGCTCTCCTAAGCTGCTCTTCGGAGTGGCTGTATGCCTGCACAGAATTTACCACAGCTCTGCTCTTGTCATAAGACATTCAGCAGAGGCTGCTAAGTTTCTCCCTGCATCACACTGTCCATCTACAATGTGAGATAGAAGAGGTATACAATACAAAAAAATACATGTGCCTAAATATCATAGGATGAAAAGACACATTTTAGTCAGAAACTTTATCTCCATGAACATTATATTTCTTGTGACCACCTGGCCCCTGTCACACTATCAGGCATTGGAAAGCAAAAATATCTTAGTGCTCACACCAGACCCACTAGATGTGGTTTTTGGCTCCATCATTGATGGTCCACATAAAATCTGAATGGGAAGAATGGGGAAACTTGTGTGTGACTCCTCCCAGCATATCCTGGCTTAACTGGTGTCACTTCAGTGCTCCTTCCAGCACCTGTAATTGTCAGTACTCACTCATTTCCCCAGTCCAGTCTGGCAGTAATGTGGCGCTTTACGTCCTTCATCCTGTCGTGGGTAAGATGGCCGACTAGCACCTGCCTCCTCAGATCTAGGATTTCATTCATGATGTGCCACAGGCGGTGGAAGAGATCACCTTCATTTCTCTAAGGAATACGTAAACACAGATTTGGAAGTCAGTCCTCTTTCTGGAATGGAAGGTAACCAAACTGGGTGGGATGGCCAACGGTTTGCCATGGTGTAGACAGCTTCTCCACCAACACATCTTTCCCACTTCCTTGTCCCCAGAGAGACAAGCCGCTCTGTGTATTTTCTTCCAAGTCACACAACACTGCTCTCCTGTCTAAGCCAAATGTGACTTCTCAATTCCCTAACACAGATGTTATGCTCCTTCCCCAGGCTTGGCCTGGTCTCTGCCTGAGTACACAGCCTCGCTTTCCTCTCCAAGAGCTTCTTTCTGAGCTCTGTCTAAGCTCTCTATGCTTTCAGGTGCCGCCTGACTTCTACCCCTGTCAAGCAGTTTTCCCTGACTACTCATGTTTTTGTCTCAGTCTTGGCTGCATGCAACTTAAACCAATGACATGGAAAATACTCTTGCCTACTTATTTCTTGAAGGTTGGTCCTAATTTTTCATCAATCAAGTCATAAATTTGGACACATAAGGATGTTTCACAACCAAACATTGATCAACATTCACTGATATTATCTGGTCATTACTCAAACTCATAAAAAAAAAAATGGTTCTTTCTTATTTACTTAAAAAAGAGCACAGGGCTTCAGTGTATCTGCCAGTCAGTAATCCCCGTGGTTTGGTGGAAGAAAGATGGCTGAGAACTTGGGTTCAAAAAACCTTGATGATGAGTTCAGTCATCAGTGAAACTGCACAGCATTGTTTTTCCATGGAGATATTTTATTGGTTTGTGACCACATGTGTGATGATGGCACGGGGTGAAGAACACTGCCCTAGGAGTTGGACGGTCTTCACCTGACTTCCACCTGCATCATTTCTAAAATAAAACACTCTAGCAATTCATTAACCTCTTTGAGTTTTCTCGTACTACAGTATTTACCATGGGGAGTTACTGTGAAGACACAGGAGCTAGCATACAGAGTGTGGAGAAAAATGCTCATCCCAGGTAAGTAACATGTTCCTAGTTCTATTCAGCATGGTTCACAATAAGCCCTTAACAAATACTGTTTCTTTGCCAATATTGAAAAATATACACCTTACCCCAGAGATATTAGGTAAGTAACTACCTGGCATCTTTCTTAGCCATAAGATATGCTTTTGTTTTCTACAAAAATAATTAATAGACTATACCAGTGGTTCTCAAGCTTCTTATTGCTGTGACCCTTTTAAATACAGTTCCTCACGTTGTAGTGACCTCCAACCATAAAATTATTTCAGTGTTTCTTCATAACCAACTGCAATTTTGCTACTGTTACGAATCATATGGTAAATACCTGATATACAGGATATCCAATATATACAACCCCAAGGGGGTTGTGACCCACAGGTTGAGAACTGGTGTATGTGAATACTGGTATGAATTTGTAGAGATTATTGTGTACCAAAAGTTCTCTAGAGCTATAAGACATATAAATTATCAAATTCATATATATATATATATATATATATATATATATATATATATATTTAAAATGTAGCAATGCATTTTCTTTTTGATTCTTTAAGGACCCATCAGGTACTGCGCAGATCTGACAAGCATGCTAGGACAGCAAGCTTTCTCAAGGAAACCAGTTCCAGATCCTCCAAGCCATAAATAATCTCCTTCTCCTCTCAACTCCTAACTCACTCTATTGAGCCTGTTTTCTATTACTGTCTTCTATTACTGCCTGCTCTTCTCTCATGTTGTACACTCTCTTACAAGCCATTACAAGGGCACTGCAACACAATTTTCTTATAATTAACTGCTCAGTGTCTGTTCGCATCCACAGTAGCTGTGCCTGAGCTCCCAGAGGTGGAAATGAATGAATACAGTGATTTATAGGCATTATTTCTTGCACACCTCCAAAAGCTGTTCCTGGATAAGCAGAGGACTGAGAAACATTTGAGGGTAACTGTGGTAGGAAGGAAAAATCCACCAAATGAGGATAAATTATTTAAGAGAGGTATAAAAAGTCAGACATATGAGAGAGATCGCATCCTCACGATCAAAGGGTCAAAGGCATGTACCTGCACATGTTCAGTAGGGTGAACTTGATCTTACACACATCTTCTGACAAGAAGATGCTGACACGAGAAGGAAGCGGAGTCTTTCATAAAAATGAAAACTAGCTGGTAAGCTCTCTCTCAGAGAAGAACCTCTAAAAGTGGAAGTCCCACTGCACAATGAATGGGTCTACCTGCCAAATGTGCCCTGCCTGCTACTCTAAGAAAAAGAGCTGGGCATGTTGGCCTCTGTGTTTAATACTAGTCACAGGAGGGCTAAGCAGTAGGAATATCACCATTCCATCCCAGCCTGGGCTTATCCAACAAATTTATCACACAAACAGGAAAGCAAACAAACAAAGCAAAAACAATGACAAACATAAATATATGATCCTCTCATAAAACACAGTCTGTAAAAAGCTAAATTTCAAAAGAAATGGATAGCTATGAAGCATAAATATTTAAAAACTGTATCCCATTTGGTATTAAATGAAAAGAGTACATTACAATACTAAACAACTGGATTAAAACAATTCCTAGAAATCCCCACAAAATGAATTGCAGTTTCCTATTTTAGAGATTGGCTAAGGTTTGATTTGGTTTTAAAGGAAAACAGAACATGTCTCAGTGGCAGCAGACCTAGATTTTGACTCTGGCTTTACTGCTTAGTGTGGGACTTGGGATAAATCATCTTTGATAAGATTCAAGAATAAAAGCACCTGGAAAAGCCCCAGGGAGAAGAGACATAAAACAGCCCAGCATCTGTACCAAGACTGCTGCAGTCCTCCTCAACACTTTTCCTGCATACACTGCTGAATTTATTAAGATGTATTTTAAAAGTTATTATTTAAGCTCTTAGCAACACTATTTAAAAGAACAAACTAGATTTTTCTTAAGCAGTTACATTCTTTTATATGCTAAATGTATACATATTTTGTTGGGAGGCCCTGTTGGTCAGAGGTTGCAGTCTAAAACTCAGCAACATGGAAGATTCCCTCCCCTACAGAGAGGACTTCCTGCTCTCTACCTGCCCTTCCCTGGAGAAGGTCTCTGAGCCCAGAGGACTGACCTTATCTGAAAGCTGTTTCTACGCCTGTATGCCTGATGTATCTTTTTTTAAAATATTTTTTTATCTTAATTAGAAAGAAGATTATTTTACATGTCAATCCCAGGTCCCTCTCCCTCCTCTCCTTCCCTGCCTCTCCCCCCCCCCAACTAACACCCTACCTATCCCATATTCTTTCTGCTCCCCAGA